AATTAAAAAAAATTAAAAAATTAGCCACGTGTTGTAGCACACACCTGTAGTCCAAGCTATGGGAAAGGCTGAGGCAAGAGGATCATTTGAGCTCAGAAGTTCAAGGCCACAGTTAGCTATGATTCTGCCACAATATTCTAGCCTGGGAGACAGAGCGAGATCCTGTCTCTAAAAAATAAAAAAATTAAAAAAAAGAAGAATTAGTGCAAGTGGCAGAACCAAGGATCCCAGGAGGAGTTGATGGAAAAAGGCAGGTAAACACAGGCCTATAAAAATATATATGCTTTCAGTTGTTAACTCAGAGTAAAAAAAGGAAAAATATATATATGTACTATGCCTCATAACAGATACATGTACAATGTGCTACAGAAAAGGAAGTGAATTCTGTAGTGCAAGGATCAAGAAATATTGACACTGGCTTTTAAGAATGTGTTGGACTTTCCCCAAGAGTCAAAGGGAAAAAAGTGTTTCCAGAAAGGGGAAGCTAGATACATGGCTTCAGTATAACAGAAGAGTAGTGAATTATAGACATAAGAAAATTTCCAACTGTTCAAAGCGGGTAATTGGAGCATCCCCCTACTGAAAGCTATGAAAATTAGAAGTTTCCAAATGGCCCAAGAATACTCATTTAGTCAGCAAACTGTATGTTCCAGCCCTGGTGCTAAACAAGAGACACACGTGTTTAAACAGGGTCCCTGCTTTCCTTCAGTTTATGGTCTGGTAAAGGGGACAGATGACACCAGTACAATGCGATAAGAACATCTAGGGCTGCAAAATCTTTGATCAAAATCTGAACAAGGCTAGCACTCTGGGAGGCCGAGGCGGGTGGATTGCTCAAGGTCAGGAGTTCGAGACCAGCCTTAGCAAGAGCGAGACCCCATCTCTACTAAAAATAGAAAGAAATTATCTGGACAACTAAAAAAATATATATAGAAAAAAACTAGCTGGGCATGGCAGCGCATGCCTATAGTCCCAGCGACTTGGGAGGCTGAGGCAGGGGGCTTGCTGGAGCCCAGGAGTTTGAGGTCGCTGTGAGCTAGGCTGTCGCCACGGCACTCTAGCCAGGGCAACAGAGCCAGACTCTGTCTCAAAAAAAAAAAAAAAGTCTGAACAAGGGCTACGCAAGGACAAAAAAAAAAAGAATAACCTGGCAAGGATGGCTTATTGGAGGCCATGCCTTCCTGAGTCAAGCTTTAAAGAATGAATGAACAAGAGTTACCTAAGTGAAAGAGAAAGGAGAGCCAATGAGGTAGAAATAACCTTTTCCCTTATCTCATCAATATCATAAATATCACTTTCTTGGAATTGATTTCACTGCCAACAATATCTTTATAAATATAATCTTAGTTTCCAGTTTCTAAAAGGACATAAGATAAAGCAAGTAATAAGACAAATTGTGAGTATAGCCAATACACTAAAACTGTCTTTAGTGCTTCTGACCTAGGAAAAATTTTATAGTCTATTATAACCTGGTTTTGTAAACCACTCTTTTCTGCTAAAACAAAAACAAAACTGTTCAATCTGAGCAGCAAATCACAGATTGTTGAGGGCAATACTCTTTGTAATCAAACTTTCTAGGGACACAAATTTCCCAGGGATCAAGCAAGCATGTCTGGACTTCACAAGAAGAATCTTTTTTTTTTTTTTTTGTGAGACAGAGTCTCACTCTTTTGCCCGGGCTAGAG